ACTGAGGGCCCACATCTGCTTCAGCCTGAGCTGGTGAGCAGTCCAGGGCAGAGCACCCAGCGCCCAGAGAAGCAAGCAGGTGAGAAAGATCAGGGTTAATAAGGTGTGGGCGGATCACCCCAGGTTTCCATTCCTGTTATTGAGAGAACACAAGTGGACCAGGCCTGACCACTGGGGATCAGAATTTGGGTCAGGCCATCGGAGAAAGAGATCAGTTCACCTCAGAAACAAGAACGGCATTGACTGGGGCGAGTGACACCACTCATGACGCAGTTCCGGTGAAGTGACTGAGAGGCATGGCCCTGGCCTGGGAGACGCCATGGAGGCTGACCTGCGGAGGCTCTGGCTCCACAGGCTGCTCTCGGGAGTGGCTGAGCAGCCCACGGAAATGCCAGCCACACCCCAAGCATGAATGCTCCCACTGTTCCACAGGCTGCCCGGGACATCTTCCAGGCACCACTTTTGAATCGCCAAATCCCAAAAGTTCAAGACTCTTTTCAAATCCCCAAAAGGGTGGGAAGGGGGAGGTACTATCTGAAAGTTCTGTTGATTGAGGCCCAGTCAAACTTAACAACAGACAGCACTCAGCACCTCGTTCACGCTCCATACTCACCTGGCAGACAGGGAGTGATGTCTCACTCCAGTGGTTTGTGCCATCAGGACCCAGCCAACAGCCAGGATGTGGCAAAGCCAATTGGCTGGGTCCAAGCTCACGCTCCCAGCCACTCAACTCTGGACGTGCTGTTAAGCAGCAGCACGTCCAGAGGACCGAGAAGTACAGCATCTTCATGTGTGCGCCTCATGAGATGCCTTAGGGAATTTAAACACAAGGATGGAAGAGTCAGGAGGACACCAAAATATATCCTGTAGGCAGAAAGACTGGCCCAGGGACTGTCCAGAGCAGGGATTGAGATTTTTGGCAAAGGAGCAGACAGTAAAGATGTTTGGCTTTGCCGTCTCAGCGGCAACTACTCAGCTCTGACATTATAGCTCCAAAGCAGACACAGATAACACATCAAAAAGGGCATGATGACCTAGCTGGTTTGGCTCAGTGGTTAAAGCGTTGGCCCCTGGAATGAAGGGTCCTGGGTTTGATTCCGGCCAAGGCACGTACCTCAGTTGCAGGCTCGATCCCCGGCCCCAGTATGGGCATATATGGGAGGCAACAAATTGATGTGTCTCTTTCAAGTCGATGCTTCTCTCTCTCTCTCTCTCTCTCTCCCCCACCTCCCTCCTCCCTCCCACTCTCTCTGAAAAGCAATGGAAATAATATCCTTGAGTAAGGATTAAGAAGAAAAAGGGGGGAGGGTGTGCTGAGTTCCAAGACATTTCCCATACAAACACAGGAGGCCACAGTTTTCTGACCATGCCTTAGACCAGCGATTCTCAACTGGTGTGCCATAAGAATTAAAACATGCAATATCTGACTATTTAATAGAGGGCACTGACCTCTTTTCCCTTAGATTGTCAAATAAAAAAATGGCAATAGCCAACACAACAATTAGCCATCCAATGTGAATGAATCAAAATTATACTTTTTTTTGTCAGATGAGCAAAAAATATAATTTTTGGTGTGCTACAGGATTTTAGTAATGAGTTTATGTGTGCCATGAGATGGAAAAAGTTGAGAATGCTGCCTTAGCCCATGGGAATCCTGGGAAATTATTGAGTCAAGGAAAAATTAATCAGATGAGTGTTTTAAAATGAATTATGGTCACTGAAGGATGGAGTCAGCATGTTTTAGATGTTACATGAAATAAATACTGGTATTATCATGGGTCTCAGTTATTATGGTCATTATAAACAAATGGGAGCAGTTGTGTTTCAATAAAATCCTATTTGCACAAACAGGCAGAGGTCTGAATTTGACCTCTAGGATCTCAACTCAGGGATTCTAATAAATCAGTAATAATCTGAAATCAGCTACTATGGTTCTTCAAACACCTGCCCCAGCATAAAAACCATTTATAGCACACTAATAGCCTCTGATTATACCAAAATGGTAATACGAAAAGGGGTTTTTTTGGTCTATTAACTGGATCCATTCAAACCAGAGACAGATCCCAGCCATATAGGATCAACTCTTTACTCTTCCAGCTTCCAGAGCAGGTATCTAGGCAGTGCTCTGTATATGGGCTGCACTTATGGGAGAGAGAGACTGCAAACCAATGACTCACACACCCTCTTCCCCACTCCACCAGCCCAGCTAAACCACGGAACCAGCTTTCAGTCTCTGCTTCTTCGTGTGACATATGAAATCAACTGCTGATATGCCCATGACTGGTACTGGCCAATTACAGGGGAAGCAACGTCACCAGAATGGCTCCCCAGCTTTCCAGGACTTGACATGCACTATAGCACCTGGTTCAACCCCAGCTGTGGGTGCCCAGAGATGGCAACCAGGGAGAAAGACAAGCTGTCGCGTTGTAAAGAACAAAAACCAGTTATCCACCTGAGAACTTCTAGGAGAAGATGCTGGTAGACAGTGCTTGCCGTTTCCCCTCTTAGTGCAGTGGTTCTCCAAGGCGGGGAGGAGGCACTTTGGCCCTCTATATCTGGAGGCATTTTTGATTGTCACAACTGGGGAGGTGCCACTGGTATCCAGTGGGTACAGACACCAGAGATGCTGCTAAACACCCCACAATGCACGAACAGCCCCCCACAACAAAGGCCTACCCAGCCCCAAATGTCAATGGTGCCTAGGGAAGCCCTGACTTAGGGCCTCACCACGTGATGATCCCAATGCCTCAAGCACACAAGCACAGTCCAATTAAATTCCAGGAACTCAGCTCCAAAGACCATTTTGATTGACGTGTCAAGCTAATTAGATGACAGAAAAATAGCAATGTGAGTTAAGACTTATCGATGGTGCCTGTGTGGTTATTCCTTTGTTGGTTTTGGAAAAAAAGAATTACTTTGTTAAGGGTCATCTGTAAAGGAAGGAAGAGAGCGTAAGTAATTTCTGAAGTTTCGTCAAGCTCCAAAGTCCTATGATTATAAGCATGTAAGATGGTTGAAATTCTAACAGACTACTCTAGGGGGTTGGTAACTTTCCGAAAAACATAACGTCTCCATGAGGCTGAAAAGCTGAGACCAGATCACTGTCCTTTAGAATGTAGAAGCTTCCTACCCTATGAGATATGGAGCACAACACACAAAATAAAAATAGTCGAGACTGGAGAAACTGAAAGTCTATGTTTACCATCCGGGTGCTTCTTCCTTCCCATGGAAAACATTTGATAGACTGAGATAAACAGGAGGAAATCACTACTGAACTATTCGCCTTTTCCCCCAATGTGGAATACACTGAACCAGAAACTTGCAAACAGCATCTGTTTTACTTGTTACACACTGGTAGTACAACTGGCTTTATTTATTTTTTTCTGGAAGTTTGCTTATAATATTTAGGAAATAGTATTACAGAAGATCAAAGTCAATGAGTAATTTAAAAACACACCCTCTAAAAATGACCTAATTGTTTTACAACATAGGCTTTCAAAATGGAGTTTCCTTTTATTAATCCATCAGATCAAAAAAGGTGGTGTTTCATTTAGACATAGTAAGAGCCAATGCTTACAGACACTGCCAAATCTTGAAGGAATAGTTTAAAAGCAGACAGTGTGATCATTCAAATAGTAGGCACTGGAAGAGAATTTCCACATTGTATGTTAAGAGAAACCATTTTCTCCTTACCAAAAAAAAATATGTAAAGTTAAAAACTAACCAAGTTTCCTAGATCCTTTCAAAAAGAAAAAATATATAATGTAAAACTGAGTATGATTTCCTGTGTTTGAACCTACGCTTCCACCTGTTGTACTTCTCCAGGAATCACCATTTGAACTCCACATACCTCAGAGAACATTCCTTGATTGGGTCCCAAGATGGAACACCAACCTCTTCTCTCACCCGACCCCATTCCTGTATCTCATTTGCATTATACCTCAGGGTCTCAAACCCTGCGGCCACTGAAGTCTCCATTCAATGACTAGACTTGTCACTAAACAATGACAGGTCATCCCACAGACCAAGTCCATTCCAATACTCAGTGACCACAGGAGAGCTGGGAAGCGGCTTCCCTAAAACACGGTATGATCCAAATTTCATTTGTGATTTCTGTTTTATACTCATGTACATGTGTTTGTGTAAGTACTTTGTGTCTATATATATTTGTATATATATTTTTATGTGCACGTATAAAGTATCAGAAAGGTCTACACTGAAATGTTAATTGTGGTTATTTCCTAGCATAGATTTAACTGATTTTTACTTTCTCTTACTATTTTTTTTTGCTGGTCTCAGCTTCCAACCTTTTCTGCATTAAGCGTAACTTTTGCCAAAAGAAAAATTAAGTAAAATTCCAAATGTGGGTTTCTGTGTGTGTATGTTTTTACTCAACCTCATTTTAGAAGGATTTATGGCACCTGACAAAAAAAGCAACAAGTACATAAAGATTTCTTTTGAAGTAAGGGCACTTAGAGACAAGGGCAAGAAACTCTGAAGAAGCCAAAGGTTAAAGCTATCAGCCAGCATGCAGCCCTAACGTCCCACATACTGGCCGAGAGAGGCAAGCACTGGCTCTGCGTTTTTTGGCATCCATAGGACACTCCTTCCCAACCTCCTACCTCAGCCCACCGGTTCTAATTAAGTTTTGTTTAGGGAAAGATAATGAGGATACTTTTCTACACATCCTGATCACACTCCCAGATGAGACCATGCAGTCCAGAAACGTGGGGGGGGCGGGCTGCAAATACAGGCAGCAGAATGCGAACCGCCTGCCCCATTGCTCCTGGGGCTGAGTGTCAGTGTGTGCAAGAGCTGAGAATCTCCCAAAGTACACCGCGTTAACCTTCCAAAAGTGTCCCTCTGGGTGCAATTCACTGCCACAAAGGCGGTGGCAAGGGACACACTCACTCCATGACAAGACCGAGCCTGAGAGCCCCCGGGGTCCTTTCGAGGCAAAAGCACACTCGATGCAGAGGCCCCAGCAGCGCAGCGCTTACCATAGGCTGTCATGACACCGGCGTATGGCCCGTCCACCACATTCCTGTTTTCTTCTGCCAGCGCCTTGATGTACCTCTTGCTGAGGTCCAGGATCTGCTCACGCAGCATGGAGCTGCTCTCAGGCTGAGTTCGCTGCTGGATGGTAAAATGCAGGAGCATCATACCCCAGATAAAGCCGAAAGTCACGAGGAAAAAGCCCAGCTTCTGCGAGGACAGCTTCCACGGAGCGAAGAGAGCCATTGCTGTCCGGCAACTTCACCTGCCGACGGCTCCTACAGCGCAGAAGGGAGACGCGAGTTCATGGTGGGCCCGGCCGCCTCACTCCGGCTCCTGCGTCGGCCGATCTCCTCTCCTCTCTTCCATCCTGCTGTGGGGGGGAGGAAAGTTAGCACAGCGGTTATGGCAAAACACGGGAAAACAAACCTGAGCCCTGTTTCCACCCAAATAACTCGAAAACGTGAACTTCCTTTTTCTTCGTTTGCTGATTCAGTAGCTTGTTATGATTCGAGATCTGTAAGCTAAGAGGGGAAATCTGGCTGGGCGACAAAAAGCTGTACAAATACGGAGGAGGAAACGTGTGTCTGAGTGTGTTAGCAGGTGTAGCAGGGCTGTTCCAGTCTGGACCCGGTCCAAAACAGGAAGCTTGTTTTGCAAGGTGGTGAGGAGATGGAAGTGGTATTTCACTGAATGTCAGCAGAAACCCAAGTGAAGGGTGGAGTCCTATCTCCACCGGGCACTTTTGTGCAGCTGTAAGGTGAGCTTGCAGAGTCATTGTTGCATGCTCTGGCAAGGATTAGAGCATGCAGCTGGAGAGGTGAGCAAGAAAGCGGATGCCCCCTCAGGGGTGATCGGACAAGGAAAGGGGAGAGAGTCCCCACATTACTTATGCATGGCCAGCTCTCATGAGCAGTATCTAGAGTCAAGCTGACTCTCTCGGGGCCACCAGGTGGCCTCTCCCAGGCACCAGCGCACACAGGCTATGCCAGGGGCACCCAGTGGTCTTTCCGTTCTAGCTATCGTGAGTGAAAGCTGCACCGCGTCTCACTTGCACAATTCAGCACAGGAAGTGTGGAGCACACAACAGCCCGCTTTTCTATGCCTGTTTCACTCACACCGCGTGGCAAAATGAGGTTAAAGTGCACAGTGTCCTTTGCCCATCACGTCCTAAGGACTACAAGTGTTAAATCAGTATGTTGTACACCAGAAACAATTATACTATTATATGTCAACTGTACTTAATCTACAAAACACACACACACACCACACATATAGTTTCCATACTAATAAAAGATCCTATCTGGTATCAGCACACACTGGGCCAAGGACCTAAATCAAGGCTTCAGAACAAAAAGGGCTGAAGCGCAGGTTGCAAATAAGTTACAGGTAGGCTAAGATAGCCACTCCTTCAACCAGAGTCCTGGGCCCAAGAACCAGCCAGCTTACAAATGACACTATTTTCTAAGTGGGCGCAGGGAAAGGCTGAGCACGGGTCTCCTGTGGGGGACTCACCCAGCATGTATCACAGTGTGAACGCTTCAGCTCAAAGGATTCTGCTTCTTAAACAGCCTAAGAAGGAACAATAACGGAACTCTGGAGCTATTAGCTTTCAGAGTCTGCCATGCAGCGAACCCATGCTGATCTTCCTCTTTCCCTGTCTTTCTCTCACCCATCAACACAGTCATCAGAGTGAATAGTACCACTACTAACACTAACTGTAAATAATGAATAAATTCCACATAGGTCCCACGCATTGTGTCTTAGCTCACTGAACTCTTACAAGAGTCCCATATGTTAAGAACTGTTAACATTACTATGTCTGTTTCAGAGAAGAAAAGAAAGACATAGGGAAATGCACTTAGCAAAGGCCAGCCAGCTGTGCAGCAGAGGACAGATCATGCAGGGACAGCTCAGGAGTCAGTAAACCTGACCCTGCTGTCCTACCCTGCCCCTCCTCACCCACCAACCTGCTTATCCAGGGCTGAGAATGGCTTGTATGTGCTGAAAGGTTGCGAAAAGACGTGACAGAAATCCTATGTAGCTCAAAAGCCTAAAATGTTTACTACTGGGGTCCCACACAGGAAATGGTAGAATAGCCAGGTCAGAAGACAGTGGTCTAAACCGGCAGACCAGGAGGGAGCCTCATAGGCTGGAGCCATGGGAAAGTGACCTGTTGCAGGTGGGGCTGGGGGAAGGGCTAGGTCTGGATTGTCAGTGTGGGGGGAGCAGTGTCAGTGAAGACAGGAGAGCCTGAGATGATCAGCAGGGTTGATCATCTTCATAGAAAATTCCAGGCCAGCGGTTTTCAAAGTGGCGTCTCTAACTCAGCAGCAACAGGAGCAAAAGTGAGACATGCAAACCTCAGGCCCACTGCAGACCTCCTGGATCAGTACCTGGGGACAGGGGGAGGGAGAGAGCAGCCTGTGCTCCAAAAAGTCCTCCAGGTGATCCTGACTCCTGCTCAAGTCTGAGAGCCCCTGGTGCAGGCAAGGGCTGCCACCATCATGCCGTGGCACCACACTGCCGATACAAGGCGGCCTGAACTTGTCTCGCACTAAATCCCCTACGTAAGTTCCTCTGTGCCATCCGCAGACTCTGCATTTGCTGGTCTGCTGTCACTGTAACCCTGCTGATCATCTCAGGCTCTCCAGTTTTCAATGACACTGCTCCCCCCGCACTGACAATCCAGACCTAGCCCTTCCCCCAGCCCCAGCCCCAGCCCCACCTGCAACAGGTCACTTTCCCATGGCTCCAGCCTATGAGGCTTCCTCCTGGTCTGCAGGTTTAGACCACTGTCTTCTGCCCTGTTCTACCATTTCTTGTGTGGGACTCCATGAGATCCTACAAGGGACTTCCTCGAAACCTTTTCAGAGAAGGACACTGATGACAGGGGCTCCAGAAAATAGCCACTGACTAAGTGAATGAGTCATCTGGGCACCGTGGCCCTTTGTTCCTCCCCTTTAAATGAAGACCAGCTGGACAGCACCTGCTGTCCCTGCTTTCTCCATCGGTTCGAGAAGTCTATGCTGAGTGCTGGGGCCACCAGGCTCTGGGGAACGAACGACTGTGACAGGGTTCCCGCCCTCCAGGGGCTGTCTAGAAGCTGTTCCCCTAACTGGGTGCTACCCCAGTTCCTGAGGAAGTAGCTGTACTTTCTCTTTGGTAACTCTCACCAGCGAGTCAATTCCACCCAAGGGCTGCAGGGATTTTCCTAGAGCGAATACAAGAGGTGCTCTACCAAGAAGGCAGCCTGGTGTTCTACCAACAAACCCAAATACTGGCAGGGATTACCTGTTCCCATTCAGAGAAGAAGTCATGCTCTGCTTCCCCCATTAATCTCCTGAAGATACTGCTCAGAGTTGCAGAGTTTAAGCAAAGGGAAGGCCAAGGGCCAAGGGCTGGACAACGGCTTCAGTAGAAGGTGACAGGCACCTCCGCTATAGCCTCTGCCACAGCTTTGGGAAAGAGTTGGGACCACCCAGGTGGTGTACTCAAGAGGGCAAAATAAAAAAGGTCAGGAAACCCAGCCAAGGTTAAATCACTCCAGCTCAGAGTGATACAGATTTGAGGTGAAAATCCCTATCTCTAAGAGTTTAGAGCACAGCTCTGATTATTACTGCAGGGCCCAGATTATAAGTGACTACATAGTGCTAGGAATACTCTTTTTTTCCGGTGGAATCTACAGTTTGAAATAACAGCAACCATGTTAGCATACAAACAGCACACACAGAGAATTAGATTCATCTAAACAATTCCTTTTAAAGAGACTGAATTTTAAAAGACTTTTCAAAATCATTATTCGAGAGACACCCCTATCTTCTACAGTAATAAGGGGCAGCAATCCTCACCAGAGGGTCCTGGTGTCATAAAAAGACCTAATGATGATCATCAGTAATGACCACACAATTAATCAAGAGGCCGCAGAGCAAGAGTGATTAAAAAGGGGTCTGTCAGGCCAAGAATCTGCCTGCCTCCAGACCTTCCAACAGCTGGAGCCTTTAGCCAAGTGGAGCTGACAGGCACAAAAGGACTAGACCGTATATCTCAGAAGGCTGTGTTGCCAGCCAAAGCGATGACAGCCCAGGGCCGTGACTTCATCTGTTCTCCTCCAAAAAGGAGTTTGCACCGAGTCTGTTTGCAGTGAGTTAAGCTTCCAGATCAGTCACTGCCATTAACGGCCCTAGCATGCATTCCCTCTATTCCTACACTTCCTAAAAGAGCAGCGTTCACTTCCTTCTTCCCCCATTCACTCCTCAACACGGTATCTGGCTTCCACCTTTCCAAACGTGGCCAAAGATCTTTGGCAAGGAAATGTGTCAGTTCTCTTCATTCAGAATAAGGGCACGTGAAAAGCTAGTTGCTCAACATCAACAACCATTAGGGAAATGCCAGTCAAAACCACGATGACATGCCAATTCTCACTCATGAGCATGGCTGTAATTTAAAAAGACACATAAGAACAAGTGCTGGCGAGGGTGCAGAGAAACTGAAGCCCTGTGCACTGCCGCTGGGGGGGCCATATAGAGTACAGCTGCTGTGGAAAGTAGTTTGGCAGTTCCTCAAATGGTTAAGGCCACACTGACTCCATTTACATGAAATGTCTAGAACAGGCAAACCGAGAGAGACAGCAAGTACAACAGCAGTAGTTTAGGACTCGAGGGGATGGGGTACTAGGAGGTGACAACTAAGGCGTGTGGGGTTTATTTGGGGGGGGGTAAAGTGTTCTAAAATTTGTGGTGATGGATGCACAATTCTGTGGACATATTAAAAGTCACTGAATTACACACTTTAAATAGGAGAACTTTACGATATGCGAATCGTATCTCAATAAAGCTGTTATGGGCAGAGAGAGAGGGCGGGGGGAGAGAAAGCTCACCTCCAAAGTTGGGGGTGGGGGAGGAGCTGTACTTGGAGGTGGGGAGAGAAGCTTCCTGGGCCCATCGAGGACCCACCCCTCCCTCATTCCCCACAGCACAGCCAGGGCCAGGCTATACCATTACTAAGGGCTGACCAACAGAAAGAAGTCACACAAGAGAATTTGCTACCAGCTCGGCAGACAGGGCTGCTCTTACAAGCTCTGGAACAGCCTCACAGGCCACCCATCAGATGGCTCCTGGCCGGCCTTGATACCAATTTCCCAAACCAGCTGAGCACACCCTAAATAAGAGCCCCTTCCCAAGGGAGTGAAAACCAGACTGATGAGGCAGTTCCTTCAGGTGCCCAGCCAATGCCCCGGTTCTTAAATCAGGACCTCTCTCCTCAGAGGATGAATGAGGGGGGGAATGCCTGTTCCTTCAGGAGCAATGCCGACCCCAACCACACTGATTTGATCTTTCCAACAGCCCCACAGGACAATCCCGTCACCACTTG